GGTAAAATAATGCATGTACTGTTCCAAACTCATTTCTGAAATAAAGGACTCTTAATAATTTCCTGAAAAAGAAACTGTTAAAGCATCTCTTAGCTTTTGCCAAATGTATGATTTCTTTGTGACAATGAAAGTCATGCTATATAATGAAGATAATCTGTCATTTCTTCTAAAAAGTAGTCTTTTTCTCTGAGCTGGTTTCAAGGACACTCCTCTTCTAAGCCACAGAACTTTTCCAGGTGCACAAAGCCACCACTACCTTGACCAGTGATCCAGCGTCACAAGTGTGTGGTGTCCTTTTAGTTGGATAAGATCTGACTCCAAGACGATTAAAGGCAGCCAAGCCTCTCCCAAAATGCCAGTGTTTAATGATGACAGTTGTTCAATGGGTTCTACGATTTGAAAAATCTGAGTTCCAAACGGCAAAAGTAAACAAAATTCTAAATGAGATCACAACATACAGTAATTACTTTAGTCGAACCTGGTAGGCAGGCATTTGTGAGATTCTGGGTGCTTCCAGACGTTCTGTGGCCCAGGGAAGCTCATTTGCCTCCAGGGCTAAACTCATCCTCCCTTTCTTGTTTCTAATATCTGCTCCAAACTCTCACTGGAAAGAAACACAAGGGAAGTGCCGGGTGGTGGTGACCTCACAGCTGCTATGGAGATGATAGAGGGTCCCTGCTCACAGAGGCTCCTGCTAGGAGAATCCATGTGCTGGTGGCACTGCTTGGCTGGTGGGGTGGGCCTTTTAATGGTAATGAAGCCTGAGCTCCTTGTGGTATACAGTCATGTCGATTAACAATGGGGATACATTCTAAGAAGTATGTCATTAGGCAAGTCCCTTGTGTGATCACCACAGGGTGCACTTACTCAAACCTGGATGGTAGAGCCTGCTCCACACCTAGGCTGTGTGGGACAGCCTATTGCTCCTAGGCTCCAAACCTGTACACATGACTAAACCTGTACACATGGCAACTGTAATACCATGGCAAGTATTCATGTGACTAAAGCTATCTAAACATAGACAACATACAGTAAAAATACAGTATAAAAGATAAAAAATGGTTCACCTATAAAGGGCACTTACCATGAATGGAGCTTGCAGGACTGGAAGTTGCTCTGGGTGAGCCAGAGAGTGAGTGGAGAGTGACTGAAGGCCTAGGACATTACCTTGTATGCTATGCAGACTTTATCAACACTGGATACTTAGGCTGCACTCATTTTATTTAAAAAATGGTTCTTTCCTCAATAATAAATTAACCTTAGCTTATTGTAACTGTTTTACTTTTTAAACTTTTCAATTTTTCAAAAAGTTTGATACTTTTTTTGATCCTTTTGTAATAACACTTAAAACACAAACATATTATATAGCTATACCAAAATATTTTTTCTTTATATCCTTATTCTGTAAGCTTTTTCTATGAATATTTTTTTTCTTTTTAAATGTTTTTGCTAAAAACTAAGACACAAACACATTAGCCTAGGCCTACACTGGGTCAGGATGATTCCACCTCCACACCTTGTCCCACTGGAAGGTCTTCAGGGGTGTGATGGTTAATATTAAGTGTCAAACTTGACTGGACTGAAGAATGCAAAGTATTGTTCCTGGCTGTGTTTGAGAGGGTGTTCCCAAAGGATATTAACAACATTTGAGTCAGTGAGCTGGGAGAGGCAGACCCACCCTCAATCTGTTGGATACCATCTAATCAGCTGCCAGCACAGCTAGAATAAAGCAGGCAGGAGAAGATGGAAGAATGACTTGCAGAGTCTTCC